GAATGAAGCTGGAAGAACACTTACATTAGAACAGGAGGGAGCAGGGGCAGGAGAGGTGGAAAAAAAACTGAGATGTGGTGGTGTCAAGGGAGAATCCCATGAAGAGAATATTGTGTACTACAACAAGCTAGAATATGACGAGTATATACAATTTCCCATACAAAAGCTTTGAACCAAAATGCCCTGACCACTGTATTGGTGGAGGAAGAGACAAGCAGTAAAGAGCAAAAAGGGCCCGGGGATGGGGTTGGGAGCCTCAGGGAGCTTGGTTTAAAAACAGATTACCTTGAAGTGCTGCAGACTCTGTGGCATCCACAATCCATGAAAGAAGAGGGCTGGGCAAGATGGTTATGGAAATGACTCCAAATTACTAGCAGCTTAGGCTCGGAGAAGGAGAAATGGACACTGGAGCGGGGCTGGAAGTGAAGAAACTGGGCAGTGAGAGAGGAAATAAGGGTGCTAAGGACTCTGGAATCTTGTAGACGGAAAGGCTGTAAAGATTTTTACACTAGTAAAGATTTTTTTTAAATGGGAATAATTAGAAGGGCCCATTTGGCATTTTTTAACAAAAAACAAAAGCAGGGTTTACTTTGGTATTATGTAAAAAGGATCTGATTAACAGATAACCGATGGTAACAAGTTTAATTCAAAAAGAGTAAACCATTTTTAAGTACCAGAGGCACTGTTGGAACAGGATGAAAACTGATACAGCAGTTACTAATTAGTGCTTATTCTTCAAACTGATTCCCCTAAAGACTTCTATTTAGCAGATACTTTAAAACAGGCTGTGTACAGAAAAGAAATAATAGCACATTTATTTGTATTTTATTATTCAGACTGGCCACCATCCCATCTAGATAAAAGGGAGGTTTTACCTAGCATTACCTAGGTAATACCTAGCACCTGCGTTTTCCGAGCACTTCTAAAGGGGTTTTCTCACTCTGTTCACACTATCAGCAGGGAACACGTTCCCCATTTTGCAGGGAAACCAAGGCCAGGGGAGGTGAAGCAGCATACCCCAGGTCACCACTCAGATCTCTTGCCTCCAAGTTCAAGGCTCTTTCCTCTCCCCATTCTCCTGATCTGTGACCTCCTGGGCATTCTGGCCAATCTGCTTCCCTCTGACTTTGCAGACTGCACTAATGGAACTACCACTGAGTAATGTGGGTCTGAAGCCTGCAGTCTCCTGACCAGCCTGTGCTTCTTGGTTCTTACGCAAGCCAGTTCTTTCTATAAACTATTTCTAAGCAGCTCTCAACCACCAGGTCTGAGAATCCCTGTTGTCCCTTAGCCAAGGCTGCTCTCTCCCCCAGATCTCCACCTCATCAGGATCACAAGGATACCCGCAACTATTACAGGAAACGTAGGTTCTTCCTGCAATAAAATTAAAGCTGCTAACGTCTACTGAGTACCTGATTATTGTGAGGATGAGGTAATGTATGTAAAGTTTTAGCACAGACTGTGACAATGTATGTAAAGTTCCTAGCATAGTCTCTATACTAAGAACTTTACATAATTACCAAATCCTCACAAGAACCCAACAAAAATTCTTACTCCTGTTTTACAGGTGAGGGTACTGAGGTTCAGAAGGACTAAGTGACTTCCCCACAGTCATCCAGTTAGTGGTTAAGGCAGTATTCATAACTCACGTCTGTCAGACTCCAGAATCCACTTTCCGTTCCCTCTGCTACACTGCCCTGGCTCCCCACCCTACAAGTACTTAGAGAACTAAAGCAAAGTGGAAAAGGAAAAGTGAGGCAAGACAGAGGGACTTTTTCATTTTCACTGCCTGGCCCCCAACCCAGACTCCGGCAAGGCTAATTCCATGATATTTCACTTGCCGACAGTCCCACCAGCCTGGAGCCCTGGGGAGCTGACAAAAGTCAAAAGGCTCCCTGGCAGGCTTGTTCTGGCAGCTGCCCAGCCGACTTGTGCTAACACAGCAACAGGCACAGGAAAGGGTCTAGAGAGAGTGGAAAAGCACCAGACACTCAGCCGCTGCAGGGAGAGAAGTGATTCCTGCCATGCTCTGACAGGATAACCCTAAGCTAAAGCCACCACCATCACAGGGCTGGGAAGAGACCGGAGAGGGAGGCAGCAAAAAGCCCCAAGCACATCCACTTACTCATGTGTTTCGGCGAACTGTGACTGGAAGGCCAGTCAAAAAGAGGGTCACACGCCTCCAAGGTGAATCAGCAAGCATGGGAGATAACCAGTTTGCACCTTGGTTCATCCCAGCAACCCTCACCTGTCATACCTGCATCCACATAAACCTTGCTACCTAATGTCACCTGAGCAGAGGCAAAAAGCATGCATATACTATCTTACAGCCACTGCAACTGCTGATCTCAGCCAGGCTGTGGGAAAGAAAGATCTAGCTGAGAATATTAATAGATTTGCTAGAGGAAGAAATTCAGTGAGGATGTGCCCTTGGAAAGGAAACGTATTTAAAAGGGGCACAATCAAAGTGAGACTGGAAGAAGGGAGCCACCTGGATTTCCAAAGATAGGGCTCTCTCGACCTGACACTGAGAGGAGGCCAATGGGCGGTGACAGGAATATCCTAAAAGATCTGAAAAATCCAAAAATGTCCATGAGAAAATTTGATATTGTTTCTGTAGGCTTTCCATCCTCTTGTTTTTCTTAGGTTGATATTAAGCTGCCTTTGTACAGGATGCCCAAAAGTGTTTTGAGGGGAACCAATTCTGGGATCTAGTATTTGTCACAAGTTGTTAGACTGAAAAAAAAAAAAGTATTCTTCTTAGGTGTCATCAGAAAGAGGGGCCAGTTTGAGAGGTCACGAATTGGCAGCCACTGGGTCAAATTAACCCCATGGGTATGTTAGCATGCTTAGAATTTCTCATAATGAATTATCAACACTTAAAAATCAGAAGGTTACACATACCAAAAAACCCTGAATTTCTAGCATCTTCTAATTTTGTACCCCCTCTGGAGCTCTCAGAACATCTTAGAACCTCTCAGAACATCTTTTCGAAAAATTCAAAATCTGGTACCACTGGATGAGCAGCAGATTAAAAGGTGAGTCACCACTGCCCCCTTTTGGCAGGTCTGTGCTAACTGACAGCGTGGTGGCTCATTTGTCACCTGACCTTGCCAGCACCAGCATTAGGTTTAGCCCAGGGAAGTGACCACAGGCTTGGTAATGCCCAGGACTGCCATACGGTGGCAGCACTCGTGTGCGGATGAGGCCTGCTCATCAGCCAGAACCAGAAATCCCCTTACTTGGGTAGCTGACAGTCTCTCCCCAAGCTCCGTATCAGATTTGTTCCCTGGGAAGCAACAGCAGCTCACTTCCACATTCCCACTGGGCCTCAGTGACCCAGAAGCCAACGACTCGACCTGCTCCCTCCTCTCAGGCCACCACCTTGCAGGAAGGCACCTCCAGCTGGCACCTCTCCGCAACTGGCACCTCTAACTGCTCAGGAACTCCACTCTCACCACCTGTGAACACCATCAGGCCTCAGGAGAGAGAGCCTGAGATAAGAAGCAGGGCCAATTCCCATTCCCTTTTAGAGGCAGATTCATTCTTCATCAAATGCTCAGTACTGCCCTTTGCTCACTTAAGTTAAACATCAGTTGGCTTCAAGAGGCAACAGCTTCTTATGCTTCTTCCTAACCTGTGCTTTTACTCCCCTCACAGCCGCACCAGCAACGTATTACGTGGCAACATTTAGTAGAAACTCCTAGAGCCCTTTAGGAAAGACATTTGGTATTATGCATGAGATCCTCAAAACTGCTCATTCATCCTATTTCATCCAAAATGACATTTGCTATTTTTACTATTTATTTCAAAATGCAGAAAAAGCTTTATATATTCGTTGCAGTATCTAAAGGAGTGAATGACCAGAAACAATTCAAATGTCTAGCAATATGGAAATTGTCCAGGATAACTTATACCATACTCCCACTTAATAGACAATTATGTTGCTATTAAAAACAACTACAGGCTACCAGGCACGGTGCCTCACACCTGTAATCCCAGCACTTTGGGAGGCCAAGCCCAAGGACGGATCACTTGAGGTCAGTTCAAGGCCAGACATGATGAAACCCCATCTCTACTAAAAACACAAAAATTAGCTGGACATAATGGCTTATGTCTGTGTTCCCAGCTACTTAGGGAGCTGAGGTGGGAGAATCACTTGAACCCAGAAGGCAGAGGTTGCAGTGAGCCAAGACCATGCCACTGCACTCCAGCCTGGGTGACAGACTGAGACTCTGTCTCCAAAAAAGCAAACAAACAAATAACAGACCATCCAAGGCCGGAGGATCACTTGAGCCCAGGAGTTTGAGACCAGCCTGGGCAACATAGTGAGACCTGGTTCTACCAAAAAAAAATTTTAATTAGCTGGGCATGGTGGCATGCTCCTGTAGTCCCAGCTACTTGGGAGGCTGAGGTGGGAGGACTGCTTGAGCCCAGGAGGTCAAGGTTGCATTGAGCTGTGACTGCACTGCACTCAAGCCTGTGTGATACAGTGAAACCCCGTCTCCAAAAACCCAATTATGATGACCATATAAAATGGAAAAATTGTAATAGTATGTAAGAAATGTATACAAAACTAAATGTACAGTCGTGATAACTATCTTTAAAACCTATGCAGAGAATTAGTAAAAGACAACAAAATGTTAACAGGTGGTTATGAAAGAGCTGAGAACATGGGTGACCTTTTTAAAATCCCTACCAAATTTTCTTGAATGTGCATGTAATACTTTTATAGGGAAAAGTGTGTTTGTGTGTGTGTGTGTGTGTGTGCGTGTGTGTGTGGCGGGTCTACTTCCATTTAGACTTGAAGGTGCTACAGTCAATTGTAATGATGGTAAAAGGTTCTTGGGAATCTGTGCCTCCAGGATTCAGTGCAACTATCCTAGTAAAGCCGTTTCCAGGGCTCCTTGGCACCCTTTAGTACCAATGTTATCCTGCTCTAAAATGCCTGTACTTGCCTGACTCCTAAGACCCCCAAATACCATCTGGATGATAGGATCCGATCATTATGGTTCTCAGATACCACTTTAATCAAGTTTTGCACTATACAGTGATGAGGGTAGAAGACGGTGATGGTTTCCAAGCAAATTCACGAGGCACATGTTTGGCCCTGCCCCAAAGTGAACAGTCTGGGCCTCCCAGAACAGAAAAATGCTTTCCTTCCCTGGGGATTCCCATTCCTGAGCTGACAAGACAGATTTCAGTAAGAATGAGCACAAAGGATAGAGCAAAATAGTGAAGGGAGCCAGGTGCATATTTGAATTCTTCCCAGTGCAGACTGGAACTAGACATGCAGGTATCCCTCCTAAAGGCAACACCCAAATCCCAGCCATTCCCACTCGAGGCCAAGCCGCCTGCCCACGGAGACTGATAGCCAACGTTCATCTCATAACGCTCCTCCCAGCCATGCACCAGTAAACTCAGACGCCCGAGTGCTTGTGACCACCACACAACAGATGCGGCCTTCCTCTTCACTGGCCCCTCGGCGGCTGCTGGGTCTGCCTGGCCATCAGGGAGCAGCCAGTACTTGCATGGCAACAAAGCCAATCAGATGTGGGTTCTGGGGCTGGTGGACATGGTAGCAGGACCAGGCACCGGCCACAGTAGGACCACAGGGCCCTGTGTCCTCCATTAATTCTTCTCTGGGCGGTTTCTGTTCAGCACAGCTTTCGGGGCAAATTCTAGCTTGTCCTTAAGGCTCACCACCTGGGTGTGGTCCTTGCCTAGAAGCTCATCCAGCTTGCGATCCTCCCGGCGCTCTGAGATGCTCTTTTCCTCCTCCACAGGCTGGGGGTCCTTTCCCCTGATGAACCATTCCAGGTGGTAGCCCACAGCCCCAACCACGAAGGCGACAGGGAATGTGACATAGGGAGCATAGGTACGAACCACGGTCCAAAACACAGGCCACATGACATCTGCAGAAGAGCACAAGGTGCATTAGAGAGAACCCAGCATCCTCTCCCACCAAATAAGAGCAACCCACTGGGGCTCTCCACTCACCAGGCAGCCTGGCCCAATTTACTGAGCACCCAGTCCTGTGCAGAGCAATGCGAGAGGTCGGTCCCTGAAATAATCTAGGAAATTTCCAAAGATTCCCTTGTTAGGGAAGAAGAAAGAATCTCCATTTTATTGACTGTACTCTTTGACACATGTGCACCAATATAAGACAATGTTCCTCACAAGGGGACCTCTGAGCCTTACCTAATAGGGTTTCAAGTCTACAGATGACCCCAGGCCCTCCCTCTAGTTTGCCAGCATTTGAAGACGGGAAAAGCAGCCTTCCTCTGCTCTATGAAGTTTCTCCATGAGGGTAGTTACCTTTTCCCCATGACACACAATTCTACGATGAATCTCCTGCTCCACGATATGAAAAGTAATTCCTTTTCCTCATGTAAAGCATAAGGAGTATATTGAAACAGTCAAATCCATAATGCATTACCTAATTATCCTGGATTTTAGGTAAACAGATAACAGTTTTATCCGACTCTGAACCTGGCTTTTCCAACACTGAGACAAACCTATACGTTACAAATCTGGCTAAACCACTTTCAAAATATCTTATCTTGGCTGAAGACTGTGGCTCACGCCTGTAATCCCAGAACTTTAGGAGGCTTACAATCCTTATTACTTAGGGGGCTGAGGCAGGAGAATCGCTTGAACCTGGGAGGCGGAGGTTGCAGTGAGCTGAGATCATGCCACTGCACTCCAGCCTGGGCAACAGAACGAGACTCTGTCTCAAGCAAGAAAAAAAAAATCCTATCTTCAACCAAACCCATACCCTCGTATTGACAGAAAAAGCTCCTGAAAATATCACAAATCATTATACATACTCTGGACAACATAAGACTCGAAGATTTTCTGCAAAAAAACACCCACTGTACAAGCCATGTACAGTTGAGGGGCACAGAGTGAATTGCCTCAGGGCCTCCTGAAATGAAGTAGGCCAATACCGAAGTAATTTAAAAACACACAAACTGGGTTATTACCATTATTATCAATTATCAAAGCTCATTCAGTTATAACACAGCTGCCATTTATTGAGCACTTATTACATGCTAGGCCTTGGGCTAAGCGCTTTGTATACACTCTCTCTTAACCCTCATGTCCACCATGTGAGGTAGATACTTAACCCACTATCAGAGGATTAAGTAACTTGCCCCAAAAGTATCAACTAAAAAATCTTTCTGTCGATGCCCCTGCAAGTATTTCTCCAACACTGCTATCTCTGATCTAAAGTAAACAATTGAAACCTTACCAAGGATAAGATGACTCTCCCCCTCTTTCTTTGGTTCTAATTCTCTTTGAAAGAATCCCAGTGTTCTCTGGACTTAACACTATAAGGGTGGCGGTCCCCAACCTATTTGGTGCCAGGGACCAGTTTCATGGAAGACACTTTTTCCACGGATGAGAGGTGGAGAGGGATGGTTTCAGGATGAAACTGTACCAGCTCAGATCATCAGGCATTAGATTCTCATAAGAAGCACGCAACCTAGATCTTCGCATGCGCAGTTCAGAACAGGGTTTGCACTCCTGTGAGACTATAATACTGCTACTGATTTAACAGAAGATGAAGCTCTGGCGGTAATGCTTCCCAGCTCATCCACCGCTCAATGCTCACCTCCTGCAGTGTAGTCCAGTTCCTAATGGGCTGAAGACCACCACTGGTCTGTGCCCCAGGGGGCTGAGGACCCCTGCAATAAGGGAGTATCATGAAATTAAAAAAAAAAAAAAAAAAACTGCAGCAGCTCCAAGATTCCCCTCCTTATTGTCTTAGCACCAGACACTATGACAATTTACACACTAATCATCCTCTGATCCTCGTAACACCTTTATGATGTAGGAATTATTAGGCCAGACTCTAGTTAAGCCACAAAGGCTCACAGACATTTTTGAGGCATTTACTCAAGATCACTAGAAGGGATAGAGCCACTGATTTTGAACTCAGGCCTCTCCAACTTAAAAGCCTACACTCTTTCTAGTGGGAAGAACACACTGCAGAGTTATGTGATTTCTGACCAAATCCTGGATTCAGGGAGAACTTCCTACAGTTTCTTCCCATCAGTCTAGCATTTCATTACCTAGAAGAGCTCCTTTTTCCCAGGCTCTAAGATTATACTCAGGGATTTGTGAAATTCTGAGATACAGGAGTTACAAGAGGTACCTCTAAAGAATCCCAAACCTAATACTTCTCCGTTTTATTTCCCACCTTTAAAGCAAGTCCCCTGTATATGTAAATGCTTTCCCTAAATAGCAATTGTCCATTTAGATTTCCAAATTTGTCTTAAAACATATCGAGCATGAGTTCACAACTCTCACAGGCAGCATAAAGTCGCTCTTTATCGGCCTGCTCACAGTCTATCATTCCCAAATAGGTCAATTAATTCCTTTATTCAACACTTATAACCACTTGCTCTGTGTCAGGTGTGGTGCTGACTTAACCTGTTTGCATTTCTCAAGACACCTTAAGCTCCAAAAGGGCAAGAACCATGTCTGTCTGTCCCCATTGTGCCCTGTCCATCCCCGCACCTCTCCTACCATGCCTGGCAGAGTGCCCAAAAAAGGTTTGTTGAACAAATGAATGACAGTCCAAACAACTCCCTAGTGTAAAATCACAACATCCTCCACCCACTCCCCCAAAAGGTGGCAAGAACGTAACAGATGCCTTTGCTGATTACAAAAACCTAGAGACTCCATCATAGTCATCCCCAGGGTATCACAATGAAAGAGACAAAAGTGAAAAATACTATGACGCATATCTCCAGCCCAGCATGGAGGAAGTGTGCCAAAAGCATCCAGTAAAGGTCAACTGGGTTGCTAAGAAATCTGCCCCAGTTGGGTGCCTGGAGGTCCAACGAGGCCAGAGCCGTCGTCCCACATTAAAGAACTGCTAACAAGCACAGAGGAGGCCTGAGATGCCGGAAGAAATAACCCCGACAGTCACCCGAGCGCACTCCAGGCATGGGAGCGCAAATGAGGTCAGGGTCCAACTGGCTACCCTTCTCCCTTCTCTGCGGCTGCCGGTCCCCTGCCCCTAGCCCACCTCATTCACGGCCTCATCAACGTCCGTCCTCATTGAGGTGCCGAGAAGCCCTGCCTGCAGCGGGCCAGCTGGGCTCCGAGACTTGGTACCAGAACACCCGCAAAAGAGAGGGTCGTCACACCTGGCCGGGACCGGTGTGGACCCTAGCGATCACTCCTCCCATAACTCAGAGGTTACGGGCCTGGGCTGACAGGACCTGCTCGCCGGGACCGCGCGCTCACCTGCGGCCCAGCCCACACTCCCCAGTGCGGCCCCCGCTCTCCGCCGGCTGGCCGGGAGCACGGAAGTCGCCGCTCCCAGCGGCCCGGGGGACCTTGCCCTGTGACCCTGCCCACGGGCCGCCGGCCTTCTCGGAGCGCAGGGATTGGCTGAACTTTCGCCAAAGAACGGAAGGAAGCTAGGCGTCCGCCACCGGACCTCGCTCCGCTAAGATGGACTTCGCGCCCCCTGGTGGCCTGGAGGCTTCTCAGTGATGTTGCCACATGCTTTCTGCGTGGAAAAAGTGAAAGATAATCCAGTTATTTTTTTCAACTGACATGTACTAGGCATCTTCTAAGACCTAGGTCTGGGCACACAAAAACAAAAGACATGGTCCCTGATCTCAAGAAGTTGTTTTTTTAAAAAACGGAGTCTCGCTCTGTCGTCCAGGCTGGAGTGCAGTGGCGCGATCTCGCCTCACTGCAACCTCTGCCTCCCGGGTTCCAGAGATTCTTCTGCCTCAGCCTCCCGAGTAGCCGGTACTACAGGGGCACGCCACCACGCCCAGCTAATTTTTGTATTTTTAGTAGAGATGGGTTTTCACCATGTTGGCCAGGATAGTCTTGATCTCTTGATCCTGTGATCCACCCGCCTCAACCTCCCAAAGTGCTGGGATTACAGATGTGAGCCACCGCGCCCGGCCAAGAGGCTCTTTTTAGGAGAGTGTAATTTGGTCCTTTTAGACCTCTTGGGATCTGGGCTAGCTTTCTAGTGACCTTGGGAATATTATTAACCTGTCTGAGGCTTCCCCTTCTGTGTAGAGGACCCATTTTGCAGGGATGATGTGAGGGTTAGATAACATAATATTTGTAAAGTACTGTGCCAGGCACACAGCTAGCAGGAAAATAAATGAGGCTATCGTTAGTCTAAAAATAATTAAAATATAGTAAAACCTAAGTCTTACATGACCTCTCAAGTACAGGTATTCACTTCTTCCTCTGTGTCCCCTCTGTACCCTACATAGACATCAATTTAATCATATACAGAAAAGTCCCAAAGCTCAAGCTTCTTAATGCCCCCACAGGGAGGGCCCTTCCGACCCTCATCCCACTAATCTCAGCCTGCGTATTTATTTTACTAGCACATACCAAACCCAGCAGGCCACACTGTTTCACACTTCAGCGCCTTCCTGATGCTTTTTCATCTATCTAAAATGTCCTTCCCACCTTTTTTTTTTTTTTTTTTTTTTTTTTAACCAGGATCTTGCTCTGTCGCCCAGGCTGGAGGGCAGTGGCACAATCATAGCTTACTGCAGCCTCGACCTCCTGGGCTCAAGTGACTCCCACTTCAGCTTTCCAATGCACATCACCAGGCCCGGCTAATTTTTGTACTTTTTGTAGAGACCAGGTTTTACCATGTTGCCAGGCTGGTCTCAAACTCAAGCAGTCTGTCCGCCTCAGCCTCCCAAAGTGCTGGGATTACGGACGTGAGCCATCATGCCTGGCCATGAAGTGCCCTTCCCACTTTTCATTACTATGTGAAATTGTGCTCTGGCACAATTTTCAAGCTTAAGGGTGACCTCCGTAGGAAGCCTCATATATAGAATGCTTATCACGTTAGATACCCTCCCTCTATTATCTCAAAGAGCGCAAAGCTAAGCTCTGGAAATGAAGACGGAGAAAAGGGAACAGTATTGTACAGGCCAATGTTCACTGAAAATCAACTGACAAAAGGCAGATTAATAGGAGAAAAGACATACAAAATTTTATTTTAACGTGCATAGCACGGGGGGTGGGGTGGCCGGGAAGGGAAGGGTCACAGGAGAATGGTTACCCAATAACCCAGTGGGGTACAGAAGCTTATACACCCTTTTTCACAGGGGAAGGAGAGAGACGGAGGATATAGACAATTCTTTTGAGGGCTCTAAGTGATTCTTAGAGCGGAAAAAATGGACAGAAATTCACTTGTAAATTATTCTCTTTAGAATTTGAATGAGCCCGAGAAGCAGGCATCATCTTGTAAAAAACCCATCCAGGTGTGGTTGCCTTCCTCAGTCTTCTTTTCAGAGATAGATGAGATTTCGGAGATGGGTGGAAGGCAATTTTGTTTCTTTTGGAAAGAAGTTTTCTTGATCAGATTAGGAAACTCCAGACAGTCCCTCCCTGTACTTGGGAAACAAGGTTAGAGGGACCTTGATTCTGAGGCAACTTCGAAGGCCTCTCGGCATGTCAAAGTGCCAGTCTTTGCAGTATTGCTTTCCGAGCCCCAACAGTACAAAGAAATACTTAGGAGACCGTTGTTAGCAGAACCTGTGCACTAATTGAATATGTGGAGAGGAGAAGGGAACAGAACTGCCCAGAGGAACTGGCATTCGGTCAGCCAATCATGTGCTAGGCATGGGGGATGCAAAAATGACTGGGACCAACCTGCCTCCGGAGTTCTCTGACTAAAGAAACAGATGGGTCTACAAAATGTCAACAGACTGTAAGAAATGTGATGAGAGAAGTATACACACGCAGCACAGAAGAGGATCTTCAGCCCGGCCAGGAAGGTTCAGGGAAGGCTCCCTAGAGGAACCAGGCCTTGAGCTGAGTCTTGAGTCATGGCTAGCGGTTCCCTCAAGCAGAAGTGCTGAGGGGCTCAGGAGCATAAACTTAGAAATCAGATAGCCATGGGTTCAAATCCTGACTCTTGTCTGCTAATCTCAGAAAAGCTATTTACACTCTTTGTTTTAAAAAAAAGACAATATAATAGTACCCGCCCCTAGGGTTGCTGTATTAAATCAATCTAAACGTGTATAAAGTGCTTGGCATAGTAGTTTGCACCTTCTCAGTGCTCAGTAAATGGTTATTGACATGTTAAGTACTTCCAAACTGTATTGCTCCTTCTGTAATGTCCTATGTCCATTCGTGGCTTTACTCATTCATTAAGCCAGAAATCTGAGGGACACCTTCAAGGCGTCCCATCTTTGCATTATTCCCCAGATCCAGCTTACGGCAGCTATGCCTCCTAAATGTCTCTCAAAGTCAACATCATTCTCTCTTACCTGGACCACTTTAGCAGCTCCCTCAAAGGTCTCCCTGCCGTCTTGCTGCCCCCGCCAATGCATTTCCATTCTGTTGACCATAGTTTTATCTTTCAAAGAAAACTATGAGGTCTCCATCTTAGCCCCCAATCACCAACTCTATATGGGTCCCTTCTAGCCATATTTCCTCCACGCCCTCTACAGCCACCATCACCTGCCACCCTCTCCAGCCTATGCTTTCATTCCCAACACACATGTGCTTCCATGGCTTTGCCCAGGCTGGTCCCTTGGCCTGAAATGAATTTCTCCCTTTTCTTCCTTGACTGCAAAATGCGAATTCATCCTGCAAGATCCAGTTCATAACGCAGAAAGTTTTCCCAGACTACCTGTGCTATGGTTGTACCCTCCAAAAACGTATGCTGAAATTTGTCATCATAAGTATTAAGAAGTGAGACCTTTAAGAGGTTATTAGGCCATGAGGGCTGCACTCTCAAGGGTGGAATTAATGCCCTTACACAAGGGCAAGTTCAACTCCCTCTCTTGCCTGCTCAACTTCTGCCATGGGATGACATAGCAAGAAGGCCCTCAAAAGATGCCAGCACCATGACATTGAATTTCCCAGCCCCCAGAACCGTGAGCCAATAAATACGTGTTTATTATAAGTTACCCACTCTGTGGTATTCTATGATAGCAGACACCCTGGTTGCTGCAGGCTCTCTCCTCTCAATCCCTCGGCCCTTCTGGGAGAGCAGGCCTCCCTCTGCACCATAACTCTCTGTTTATGTGCCTGGCCACGGCCAGACTGTAAGCAACTCAAGCAAAAGGACTGGATCTAATGTTCAACTTATCTACGGGACTCGGCATAACTACCTAGACCACAAGAACCAAAGGAGACTCATCCGCATCAGCCCCAGCCAGGGGGATTTTAGACATGTCTGCAGCAGGATGACCATAGAGTTGCAGGTGCTGACCTGTTCCTTTGTACCCTTCCCGTATACCTCACAATCCTGGGAAACCTGGCTGTTTCTGAGAAAAGTCATAGACCCATAAAATGCTGTATATAAGGGTTAAACTCAGACTCAGCCACTTCCTGGCTTCATGGTTTGAGGTAAGCTGTTTAAACCTCTCCAAGCCCCAGTTTCCTCATCTGTAAATGGGGGTGATAACAACACCTGTTTTATAGCATTGCTCTGAGTTCAAACCTCACCCCGTGTCCCAATTTTAGAGATGATAAAACAATCTTAACAAAGTAAACTGACCCAGTTTACTTCTATCGGGAGACTTTTGGACAGTCAACCAATTTAAGTCTTCCCAAACCTGGCTGCTCAGAATCTTGTGGAGCACTTGTTAAAAACTTATTGGAGGGCAGAGTCTATTCACTAAGTCTTGAACCAGGCTCAGGAGTCTGTATGAGATCAGCTCCAAACTGATTGCTTTTGGGAATTCAGATCCCATTACAGCCCTCCTCACCTTCCAGGCTCACGAGTTTGTATGTGAACTATCTCTTGCCTTTCAGGAGTCATCTATGAAACCAGTCTATAAATCATTCATGCCACTCTTCTGTTCAAAACCCTCCTCTGACTCCCTACAGCCCGCAAGACCCAGGCCACCCTCCTCAATGAGACCCAAACACTGATATGATCAAGTCTCTGTGCTCCCCATGTCTCTTCGTCCTCCAGGCCTTTGCACAGCTGTTTCGTGATCTTGGAACATTCTTCCCAGCCCCGGCCCTCCTTCAGCAGCTAACCCCTCATCATCTTTCTGGCACTCACTCCTGTATTTTAACTGCCTGCTTACTTGTCTATTTTTCCCGTATCACCGTAATAAGCTCCATTAAAGGTAGAAACTACATCTTGTTCAGGGCTATCCCTGTGGTGCCTGAAAGCGATAAATGCGTGCCACATAAATGCATGAGAAGAATTAGCTGATCCAGTGTGGCCCAGAAAAGTAGCCAATACTGAAGGCTTTTCCTCCTGCCTGGAGGTGATACACCAACCCAAAGGACTGCTGAAGGAGGAAAGGAAAGGGGCTTTCTGGGTGGAGACTGCCAACAGCCCTCTCTGGTCTAAGAAGGCTGCAGAGCTAAAATCTCATGATTTGGCATTTGACCTCGGACAGGTCGTGTAACCTGCCCTGAGCTTTGGCTTTCTCATCTGTTGTAAGGACCAGCCACATTCATGTAAAGCACTCACCCCTTGCCTGACCCACACTGACCACTCAATAAAGCCATCGATACTAGGTTCTGGTTGCCATTTGGCTTCCCAGGAGAGCTTGGTTCTTTGTACTTCCTGCTCCCCCACACCAGCCCCCGCCAAGGTGCCCCACTCATGGAAGGCATCAGAAAATGTGGCAGGCCTGAAGTTTTTCTGCTCATCAGGAATGACTGGAGCAGAAGGAACACTGTGCCCCTAGGGGAAGGGAAACCAGTATTTGTCAATACCTAACAATAACCACATTCCCAGTTTATTGAGCACATGCTGTGTGCTGGGCAAGCTTCAGGCTTCCCTCTCTGGGGGACCCCTGGGGACTGGGAGGCAGAATGGAAAACAGCAAAACACGGAGAGCAGGAAGATGGACATCCTCCCCCTCTTCACCCCACCTGGACCCTTGCAGGAGGGTTCAGGTTCTTACTGTGGGCACCAGGGGCCGAATCTCCTTTCCACCAGCTGGCCCATCCCTGGGAGGAGCCCAGGCAACCCCTGCTGTCTCCAAACCAAGAGAGTGGGCTCCCGGCCCCTTCTCCCTTCACCCCCGTCCTCCCACACACGGGACGGAGGTGGCCTCTTCTGGAGAGAGCAGCTGGCTCGAGTGCAGTTCTGCCGTTTTATTTTTCCTGGGATACTCAAGGGGATGTGGGAACAGCCACAGGTGTGGTGAGGGGAAGCCCCCATCTCCCCTCCCCAGCCGCTGGGAAAGGGGAGAGGCCCAGGCGCCCTGGTCCTGGGTTGGTCCAGCCACTGTGGTCCCTGGGCCCGGTGGGCTGAGGGCTGAGGATGGAGCCCCTGGGAGGGTGGGGCAGGCTCCTAGGCGGGGTTCGGGATTCTTCATAAAAAGCCACGAAGCTTGATCCCCACGAAGCCCAGCCCCGCGGGGTGGGGGGGAACGCAGAGCCCAGATGGGGGACCCGGCCCGGCCTGGCCCGTGGGGGAAAAGAATGGCAGAGATGGTGCCCATGGGGAGGAGGTGGGGACAAAGCGTCGGACCAGGTGGGCGGGGGATCCAGGTGAGGGGCGCAGGGCGGAGAGGCACGGCCCCCTGCCCAGCCCGGGCGCCTTCGCGTGGGGTCAGGAAGGTAAAAAACCCACGGAGTGCGACGGGCCCGGGGGCCGGGGCGTGCGGTGCCGGTGGGGCGGGCGCTCGGGGCGGCCCGCGTTCACAGTGACCTCGACGCTGGGTGTACAGTACGGGTGGAGAACCGCGGACCCGGGCCGGGCTGGGCGGGCCGGACCGGTCACAGCCTGGTCTGGGCCTCGGGGATGTAGATCTCGATGCTGTCGGCACTCTCGGTGGCCGAGCTGTGGCGGAAGGAAGCGGCGCGCTTGGCCGCCAGGAGCCGCTTGCGCGCTTCCTGCCGCTGCCTGTCCACGGAGTCCAGGGAGCGCTCCTTCACCGGCACGCCCCGGCCCCGCAGGGGCTTCTTTGGTATCGGCGGAGGGACCTTCTTCTCCTCCTGCGGGGCAGAGGGCGGCGCTGAGCGGGGGCGCCTCACCACCCGACACCCCGGTGCCCGCCCCCGCGGACCCCGCACCCGGAGCGCTGACGACCGCGGGGCTCCGAACGCGATGGCGCTCAGCATCGGACCCCGTGACCCGAAGCCCCGGGTGCGCCTGTTTCGACAAGGTCAAATCCCCACGTTTTCCACCAAAGCGCGGCGCGCTCGAGCGCCCCCTGGTGGCGCCGTTCTCAACAGCTCGCATCAAAGCTGGGTTTTCACTCCGGGTCCTGAGAAGGGCGTTCCCCAACCCAGCCACGAGGGTGCACATTCCAGGCCTCTGGGCCACATCGCAGACAAAGTCCAGCGACCTGGCGGCTGAGGGGACCCTCAAGGTTCTGCCCTCGATGCCTAGGCCCGAACTGAGGACAGTCTGTCCTTCTGTAAAATCTACTTTTGCTCTCTCCAGCTGCAGCTGTGCCCTGGCTGAGGAAGCCTTGGGGTTCAGCACAAGCAGTGATGAGCTTTGGGGCCAAGCAGGTGGCAGTGGCCACGAGCGTTGTCACTCTGGAAGGGGATGGTCACCTATCACCTGTCCAAGCTGCCCTTGCTGCCATGGGTCCCTTCCCCTGCCCCCTGGTTCGCCCCACCCTCCACCTCTCTGGGGAGGGGAATTTCCCAGAGTCTGGACTCTTTGCCTAAAGGGACCCCAGCCCCACCTTAGGCTCCAGGAGCTTCCAGCTGTTGGCCTTGAGTTGCTGTAGCTCCAGGAACTTGAGGGTCACATCCTCGATGGAGAGCTGTAGGAGGTCCCAGAAACCCGCCAGGTCCTGGAAGGTGGGCACAGGGAACGCAGTGGGATCCTGCAGCAGAGGGAGATGGAGGGAAAGTGGTTGGTCAGGGAGGTCTGAGCCCCAGCCAGGACAAGGGAAAGCCCTATCCACCCTTACTGCCAGGAAGCTCAGCCTGGGAGAGTGGGTGGGGGCTGGGGGACAGGGGGACAAGAAAGAGCCCAGGCCTCCCCGTCTTGTGCACAAACACCTGGTCCTACCTCCAGGCACAAGACTCACAGCTAGCCCTGCAGGCATGGACACACCTCTGGTGCACACAGACATACACACACACACACACACACACACACACTTGGGTCACACATATCTGGTAGGATCTACTACTACAGGTGCTCACCATGCTTTGCTGACAGAGCCGGAAGAACTGCTGAACCTTCTGGGACAGGAGAAGTTGTGTGCTGCCCACAGCGCTGCGGATCTTCTCCAGGACTAGAAAGCAGAGGGAAATTCAGGGAGGGAAATGATGCCTCTCCTTCCCCAGCCTCCAGGAAGTCTGCCCTGAATGATGCTGACCGCTTAGTTGTTTGGCACTGTCTATCCATCAGTCTCCTCCAGCCCCAGCCCCATCCCATCCTCAAGTTCCTAACCAGTTCTTATTCTACTGCACCTGGATAGAGCACGGAGACTGTATCCTCAGACACCAACATTCCCTCCTTTATACAGCCTACATTTCTTGAGTGCTCATCCTCCTTTATCCTTTCTCTCTCCAGTGTCAGAGAACAGACGAAGACCAGCCCCAGCCTAGTGCTATGGCCCTGGCCAGGGCTTTAGCTTACTGACTACCCATTGGCTGGGCTTTGTTCCTCACTCACCAGTGCATGCATGAGTCCTGCGCCCTTTAAGAATGACCAAGTAATTTCATGTCTGTAACACATCTTCCTAGTCACTCTCCCCTCAACTTGGATATTCTGAGGTAAGACTGTGTCTCCTAGTAGATACGACTTATAGGAAGGGCCATGCTCTCCCTCAGGCCAGGACCATGTCTCCCTGGCTGAATCTCCTCATCTATGCCTCAGACAGGACCTGACATTGTGAACTGCCTCCCTCTCTGTAATCCCGGTCCCACCACCCAGACCCCCACACCAATCCAGATCTGAACGGAGTTCCCTTAGTCCCCATAAACTTGGTGATCTGGACTAGCAGCCCTCCCTAGAAGGCCCAGCCCTTTGGCCTGCAGGGTCCACAGCCCAGCCCTGGCCTCTAAAGCTGCACCGTGTGCACCGTGCTCCCTTCCAAGAGCTCCCAGCATGCCCTGCTGCCAGTGTTGACCCCCACGCTCCAGTGCAGAAGACGTGTGAGGCACCAACCGAAGGGGCCTCCTGTTACACTGCAGCCCCAGCCACCCCATCAGGGTCTCCTGAGCTGTGACTCACTCTCCTCGGGTAGCTCATAGTCCTCCGCCTCACGCTCCATCTGCTGGCACCAGTGCTCCAGCTTCTCCACCTCTGCCCGCAGCATCTTGATGAACCACTCGCCGTCCCGTGGGCAGGGGGACGCACGGCCTGAGTCAGGGAGGCTACGGGAACCACGCTCTATCCAGGAGTCACGGCGGCCAGCCCCGGGGCCAGGGGTGGGGGCGGGGGCAGGGCCGGGTGACCCATCGGTGGCCGGCGGCTCATACGGCAGTGGGTAGCCCTCACGGTAGGCCCACTGGCCCTGCGTGTGGACTGTGCGGAAGACTGAGTAGGTGGGGGCCCGGGGCCCAGGCTGGGGCTCAGAGGCATGCCTCTGGAAGGAGCGTCCAAACTGCAGGGCCTTGTCTTCTGTGGCAACCGTGGCCAGGCCAGCCAGGCCCTCCAGCTCCAGGTCTGCCTGCACGCCGGCCGTCACGCTGTTGGAGCGCTTGAACCTTGCTCGCCTGGGGAGAGGGGTGCCTGTCATCCCCCATTGCCCAGGCTCATGCCAGCTCTCTCTCATCCCCACCCCAAGTAAAAAAAAAAAAAAAAAAAAGGAAGGGAATGAGAAAGGGAACCTACAAAGTGATAGACTTTATGCGCTTTAAATATATTGGTCCTTGCAACAGCTAGGTACATAATAGACCTCTACCTATTGCACTGCCTCTGGACAGGGGTGATATCCAAACTCTTTAGCAACCAGTCGGTCCACGGACAGAGCAGATGCTGCCATACACCAGGCAGAGGAGACACAGACCGAAATGCTGCAGCAGTGCCCTGCAGGGGCTAGATTGTGGGGTGGGCTAGAGGGGCCAGGGAGGAGCCAGGGTGGTGGCTCTTTACCAGCAAAGGCAGAAGTATTTCAACATTTTAACAAATGCTATGTCTATGCTAGTTTACACCAGCCGCACTATAGTGTCCTCAGCCCTACCTAGAGACGAGTAAACTAAGTCACCCCAGCTTCTAAGTAGCAGAGCCAGGATTTGGACTCAGGCCTGCTGGGCTCCATAGTCCAAGCACTTGGCACTGCACCAGCTGCTAGAACGTCACAGGAAGAAATGCCTCGGAGCAGCTGGGGGTGGAGTGGGCCTGCAGCTGGGAGGACTTCTCTAGGGACCCTGATGGCTCAGCCCAGAGCCTGGCCAGACACAGTCAGCCAGGGCCAGTGGAGCCGAATTAAGTTATTTGCAGGAATGACATAGGGCCTGGAAATTTCTTATCTTTGAGTTAATAATATGCAAATCTTATGCAAACCAGAAGGTCAACTAGCCTTGTTCGTTTTTTTCCTGAGTTCAGAGTTCTTTTCTATGAAGAAGTCAGTGACCCCTTAAGATGCATGAGCTTGGGACCAGGCAATACTTTAAGAAATGGGAGTCAGGAGATGTGGGAGGTAGGGGGATAAACAGAAGATCAAGGTTTGGAAATTCAAGGACCACAAAAGAAAAGCCTGTGTGTCCTGAGCTACCTCCACCCCTACATGGTCAGAAGGGATTGTGGGGCCAGCTCAAGGGGTCCCTACAGCTCCCCAAGAGACTCTCCCAACCCCCGCAACTTCAGCCTTTCTCTTGCTGCCCAGGCCTTCTCTCCTTGCCTGCCTACTTCTCTCCAGCTGGCAGGCTGCCTGCTGGGAGCCTGTTGCCATAGAAACCAGGCCCAGAAGGATGCTGCAGGACCCAGGAAGAAGAGATGCACTCATGTGCAGTCTCCAACAAGCCCTATGTCCCAACCCCCACCCAGAGAGGGAAAAGGAGAGAGAACATATCCTCACTGCCTCCCACACAGTCTTCCCCTCCGTGTCTGCCCTGTCCTGCCCTGGTCAGGGCTTGCATCACCATCTGCCTTGACAATTAGACTGGCCCCCTTTCAGTTACATCTGCCTCCACTCAGTACCCTGCCGAGGAAGAGCATGGGACCAGGAGTTAGCTCCGAGTTCTAATGCTGGATTTGTCACTGTGTGCCTTTGTCACTCACCCTCCATCTAGGACATCCAATGTGTATAGTGTATGTACTTAAAATATATATATTAGATATAAATATACATACACATATACATCTAAAAATACACACATATATACAATTATAGAAATAGATTGGTAATTGCCAAGGTAGCTCCTCTCTCTAAAATTGTATTTTGCATATTTTAAGATCTGGGGCCCTTCCCAGTCCACCCAAGACTGGAATAGTCTTCCTAAAGCTGAGCTCTGCCAAGACATTCCCCTGCTCAAAGCCCTTCCACAGCCCCCCTATTGCCAACAAGACAAAGTTCAGACTTTCTGTGCCAGCATTATGTGAGGCCCTGATACCCTGGACACAGTCCTCCTCTTCAACTTCATCTCCCCCACATGCTCCTGTTCCCCGAATGGACTCTAAGTGATCCTGACTCTAAGCCTTTGCACCTGCTACTCCCCTGCCTGAAATAGCCTTCCTCCTCCTGGCTCCTTGTCCATTCCCTGCTTAAAGTCCGGCTTCATCTGTTTCACTCCCCCTGCCTGCAAGACTACTCCTGAGTGCCACACCTCCCTCAGCAGCCCTCCTGGCTTCAGAGGCAGTCCTGCCATTCGGGCAGATTGTTCTCTTTCTGGTGAGAGTCTTGTGTGTCTAACTGTACTCTTAGGATGCACCCTGACTTGCTTTGAATGTTTTTGTGCCTCTGTGTACTAGTTAGCCAGTGGCTCCTTCAGAGCTTCAGCTGTTACAAACCACAAAGATAAAGTAGGGGTTTGCTCCAATAAATATGTGCCTGAAGATCTGCCACGCCTGCGTGCTTTCCTGTCACCCCTGCTAAACACAGTTCTGTCCTTTGGCACTGCTGTGTCCGCTGCCTTCCACCTGTCCTCCAAGATGTCCTGAGAGGATCACATTCCATCGAGATGGAAACAGCCACACAGCCGGGAACAAAAGCACCAAATGCCCCAGGCTTCATGCTTCGCAAGTCACTGCCTCAGTGAGCTCTCTCACATGTCTGCCTCAGAGAAGACTGAGGATGTGGAGGAGCCGATGGGATGACCAGAAGCACAGTCCTCACCAACGCTCCCAGCCAGCAGCCAGAGATGTGTACAGCACACGCGGGAGTCGCTCATCCCCGGGCAGGTGGCATTTAAAACCAGCAGTGTGGGACAAGCTCACCCAAAAAAAGAACAACAGATCCAAGATCCAAACCCTGGGAAGCATGGACATTTCAGGGCTGGGTGGAGACAGTGCAGCTCATAGACGAGTCTAAGCCAGAAAGGAAGAGGGAGAAAACCAGCAGAAAGTGACATAAAAGCAGAGAGGGGACAGACAGGTGTCATGAAGGAATGGGCAGCTAATATGGAAAACGCAGCCGGGTAAGAATGAAAGGTGCCCACAGATTTGGCAATATGGAAGCCACGAGTGATCCAAGCAAGAGTGGGTTTGGTGGAATGTGGGGGCAGATGCCAACTGCAGCAGGTTGTTAGGAGGTGGAGGAAACTAGTCAAGGCAACTCTCAAAGAGCCTGGCTGAAAAGGGAGGAAGACAGAGAGAATGTACTGTTCGAGAGGGATATTTTGTTTTGGGTGCTTCTCACATGCTGTATCCCAAGAGGAAAGAACCTGTAGGCAGAATCATGGCCACCAAAGAGGTCCACATCCTAATCCCAGAACCCGTAAATCTGTTACCTTCCACGGCAAAAAGGATACTGCAGATTTGATGAAGTTAAGAACACTAAGAAGAAGAGACTCTCCTGGATTATTCTGGTGTAAACACATTCTATAAATGAAAGAGGGAGGTGGGAGAGTCAGAGAAGAAGATGGAACGACAGAATCAAGGCTGTAATGACGCAACATGGGGACTCAACCCGCCACTGCTGGCTTTAAAGACAGAAGCAGGCTGCAAGCAAAGGAATGCAGTCAGCCTCTATAAACTGGAAACTGACTAAATGGATTCTTGCCAGAGCCCAGGTTAAAACCCCATTGATAGCTAATGGGGTTTTTAATAAGTATGTATTGTTAATAAGTATGTATTGTTTTCCAGATAACAAGTATGTATTGTTTTCCATCACTGAATTTGTGATAATTTGTTTCAGTAGGAATAGGAAACTAATACAACCTGTAAAGAGAAATTGAATGAAGAGAGAGAAGAGAGAGGCAATAATTCAAGGAACCAGATATAAGGGGGATAAAAAAGAATAACATCTTCTGAGCACTTAGTATGTGCCAGGATAAGCACTTTCCATGAATAAACACTCTCAAGTGTTCACGAACAGTTCCACTGTATGGGTGTTAGTATCAGCCCTACTCGTAGATGAAAAAACCGAGGCTTAGGGAGGTTGACTCCTAAGATGAAGGCAGGACTGGTGGAGGGGACAAGGGGAAGAGATCTAAGTAAGCTGGGGGTTGGCCTGGAAGTGGACAGAAGTCCCACCAGTTGACCCCAGTCATCACAATGAAATGGGTGATGGCGGTGGCTGTCTGCTGGAGATGTCTGGGGAGCAGGGAAAGGAATGAGAATGAGCAGCTTTAGGGGAGGCAGCAGAACAGAGCGGTTAGGCCCGTGTGCTCTGGAGCCTTGCCCAGGTCCAAAACCCAGCTCTGTGGCTTGTGCCTCATTTCCCCATCTGTAAATGAGAATGATAATAGTAGCAGTTCATAAGACTGTTGTGAGATAATATCCATAAAGAACTCAGAACAGCACCCTGCCTGCTCATTGTGTTAGCTATTCTAGAGAAGCAAAATGGTTTGCAGCTCTCACTGAAAAGAAAGGGAGCTGGACAAACACATTCATCGGAATGTAGCGCTGAGAACCCAGCTAGGGCATTGTAGTTATTAATTATTATGATTGCTGTTGATCATTTCCATCTGTTCTCCCACAGCACTTTGAACAAAACCTCTTTTCTACTCCATATCACATTGTATCATGGCTGGTTATTTGCATAACTGTCTCCTCACTAAATAGGGCAGTTCATCACACATGAATGTTGGTTGGTTGGAAGGAAGGAAGGAAGGATGGATGGTAGAAAGCATTAACTATCTTCCAGCATCCACTCTCCATTTCCCCCTTAGTAACAGAACTCCACCATTTTACGCTGATGTATGGCTACTTTGAATAAAGATTTGGCCGGGCACAGTGGCTCATGCCCATAATCCCAGCACTTTGGGAGGCCCAGATGGGTGGATCACCTGAGGTCAGCAGTTCAAGACCAGCCTGGCCGACATGGTGAAAGCCTGTCTCTACTAAAAATACAAAAATCAGCTGGGTGTGGTGGCACATGCCTGTAATCCCAGCTACTCGGGAGGCTGAGGCAGGAGAGTCAGCTTGAACCTGGGAGGCGGAGGTTGCAGTGAGCTGAAATAGCACCACTGTACTCCAGCCTGGGCAAAAGAGCGAGACTCCATCTCAAAGAAAAAAACAACAAAAAAAGATTATTTCCCAATCTCCCTACCAAGTAGATATAGCCATGTGACTAAGTTCCAGTCCATGAGATAAAAGAAGTGGTGGCATGTGC